AAACACAAAAAATCACAACCAAAACAGAGACTACATAAATTATTTATTACTAAACAGGAGCAAAAATCAAGGAATAAAAATAAAATTGGGTTGTCTCCCAACAAGCGTTGTCGTTTAACGCCCCTAGCTAGGCATAAAAGTAAGGATATATCTAGGTATTATCATCTTGGGTCTTTAATTTTTTGCGGAGTTATGCTCGAATCCGGGAGGTTCCTTATGTTTCCCCTCATATTCAGAAATTTTGAGATCTAAAGAATCCAAACGCTTATTGCAAAGGGTAATCAACATATTCATGCGGTGGAGATTCCCGCTAACACTCTTAAGAGGTTCAAGAGATTTTTGTAAAATCTTGGTTACTTCACAAATTTTCTCAAAAACTTGCGTTTCTTCTTGGGTATGATGATGCCCCTTTTGTTGGGGTAGTGTTCCCACTATACCCTCTATAATTTCATGCGCAATACTGGGATCAATTTCAATAAAATTGCCTTTGGCAACACAATCCAAGAGTTGTCCATGAGACAAATTCAATCCAACATAAAAGTTGCGAAGCAGAATTCTAAAATTCACCTCTAGGGTGCAATTATGATAAAACCCCATCATTCTAAACCAAGCATCTTTTAAGTTTTCTCCTTGTCTTTGTTTGAAGTGAAGAACCTCAAACTCGGGAGACAAAGGGGAAGATAGGGGACTAGCCATAACGACAAGCAAGCAATCCAACACACAAGCAAACAAGAGACGGGCAAAAACAGGCAAATAGAGAAAGAGAAGGAGGATGGAGAGAGAGGGCGAATAAAACAGCAAGGATGAAGTGGGAGAGAGAAAAACGAGAGGCAAATGGCAAATAATGTAATGTGGGAGATAAGGGTTTGTGATGGGTACTCGGTATGTTGACTTTTGCGTAGACTCCCCGGCAACGGCGCCAGAAATCCTTCTTGCTACCTCTTGAGCACTGCGTTGGTTTTCCCTTGAAGAGGAAAGGGTGATGCAGCAAAGTAGCGTAAGTATTTCCCTCAGTTTTTGAGAACCAAGGTATCAATCCAGTTGGAGGCCACGGACGAGTCCCTCGCACCTACACAAACAAATAAAATCCTCGCAACCAACACAATAAAGGGGTTGTCAATCCCTTCACTGTCACTTAGGAAAGTGAGATATGATAGATATGATAAGATAATATTTTTGGTATTTTTATGATAAAGATGCAAAGTAAAGAAATCAAAATAAACGGAAAAGGAAATAGCTTGTTGACGGAAGATTAATATGATGGAAAATAGACCCGGGGCCATAGGTTTCACTAGTGGCTTCTCTCGAGAGCATAAATATTACGGTGGGTAAACAAATTACTGTTGAGCAATTGACAGAATTGAGCATAGTTATGAGAATATCTAGGTATGATCATGTATATAGGCATCACGTCCGAGACAAGTAGACCGACTCCTGCCTGCATCTATTACTATTACTCCACACATCGACCGGTATCCAGCATGCATCTAGAGTATTAAGTTCAAAAGAACAGAGTAACGCTTTAAGCAAGATGACATGATGTAGAGGGATAAACTCATGCAATATGAAATAAACCCCATCTTGTTATCCTCGATGGCAACAATACAATATGTGCCTTGCTGCCCCTACTGTCACTGGGAAAGGACACTGCAAGATTGAATCCAAAGCTAAGCACTTCTCCCATCGCAAGAAAGATCAATCTAGTAGGCCAAACCAAACTGATAATTCGAAGAGACTTGCAAAGATAACCAATCATACATAAAAGAATTTAGAGAAGATTCAAATATTGTTCATAGATAAACTTGATCATAAACCCACAATTCATCGGTCTCAACAAACACACCACAAAAGAAGATTACATCGAATAGATCTCCACAAGAGAGGGGGAGAACTTTGTATTGAGATCCAAAAAGAGAGAAGAAGCCATCTAGCTAATAACTATGGACCCGAAGGTCTGAAGTAAACTACTCACACTTCATCGGAGAGGCTATGGTGTTGATGTAGAAGCCCTCCGTGATCGATGCCCCCTCCGGCGGAGCTCCGGAAAAGGCCCCAAGATGGGATCTCACGGGTACAGGAAGTTACGGCGGTGGAATTAGGGTTTTGGCTCTGTGTCTGGTAGTTTGGGGGTACATAGGTATATATAGGAGGAAGAAGTACGTCGGTGGAGCAACGTGGGCCCCACGAGGGTGGAGGGCGCGCCTGGGGGGGTAGGCGCGCCCCCCTACCTCGTGCCCTCCTGGTTGCTTTCTTGATGTAGGGTCCAAGTCCTCTGGATCATGTTCGTTCCGAAAATCATGTTCCTGAAGGTTTCATTCCATTTGGACTCCGTTTAATATTCTTTTTCTGCGAAACTCTGAAATAGGCAAAAAACAACAATTCTGGGCTAGGCCTCCGGTTAATAGGTTAGTCCCAAAAATAATATAAAAGTGTATAATAAATCCCAATAATGTCCAAAACAGGATATAATATAGCATGGAACAATAAAAAATTATAGATACGTTGGAGACGTATCAGCCTTCCCCTAGGCCCAAACAATGGTGAAGTGCCATGTAGTCGACGTTCACATGCCACCACTAGAGGAGAGACAACATACATCTCATCAAAATATCGAACGAATACCAAATTCACATGACTACTTATAGCAAGACTTCTCCCATGTCCTCAGGAACAAACGTAACTACTCACAAATCATATTCATGTTCATAATCAGAGGGGTATTAATATGCATAAAGGATCTGAATATATGATCTTCCACCAAATAAACCAACTAGCATCAACTACAAGGAGTAATCAACACTACTAGCAACCCACACGTACCAATCTGAGGTTTTGGGACAAATATTGGGCACAAGAGATGAACTAGGGTTTGAGAGGAGATGGTCCTGGTGAAGATGTTGATGGAGGTTGACCCCCTCCCGATGTGAGGATCGATGATGATGACGATGGTGATGATTTCCCCCTCCCGAAGGGATGTTTTCTCGGCAAAATAGCTCCGCCGGAGCCCTAAATTGGTTCCGCCAAGGTTCCGCCTCGTGGCGGCAGAGTTTCGTCCCGTGAGTTTGCTTATGATTTTTTCTCGGACGAAAGACCTTATATAGCAGAAGATGGGCACCGGATGCCTGCCAGGGGGCCCACGAGGCAGGGGGCGCGCCCCCATCCTCGTGGATGGTGGGTGGCCCCCCTCTGGTTCTTTCTTCGCCCAATTTTTTTAATATATTCCAAAACGTGCATCCATGAAGTTTCAGGACTTTTGGAGTTGTGCATAATAGGTCTCTAATATTTGCTCCTTTTCCAGCCCAGAATTCCAGCTGCCGGCATTCTCCCTCTTCATGTAAACCTTGTAAAATAAGAGAGAAAAGGCAGAAGTATTGTGACATAATGTGTAGTAACAGCCCATAATGCAATAAATATCGATATAAAAGCATGATGCAAAATGGACGTATCACCCACTCAGTGCAGATGTGTTTTTTGCATGTTCTGCAGTACGCTGATGACGTGCTACTTCTAATCCAAGGTGATTTTTAGCAGGCTCAGATTATTAAGACGGTTCTCTGCGCTTTCTCATATTACACTGGGCTACATATCAACTTCAGCAAAAGCACATTCATACCTATTTGCATGGATGACACCACCAGCCAGAGGGTGGCTGGCCTTCTGCAGTGTCCTATTTCTAACTTCCCATCAACATACCTAGGCCTACCCCTCTCCACGCAGAAGATCTCTCATGGTTTGCTGATGCCGATTATACACAAGGTAGATAAGAGGTTGTTAGGTTAGCTTGCCACCGAGTACTCCTTGCCACCTTCCTATCCTGGGGAGGCTGGCTCGCTCTAATTGATTCGGTACTTGCTTTCTGAGGACGGTTAAATCATCCCCAACCGGCATCGGGTGTTCTTGTGGCTTGCCTTCTGAGGGCGGTTAAATACTAGAGGCAATATGATGAAGAAACAATGGAGAGGGGTTGTGCATCACAACGGCTATGACTTATGTCCTTCTACATAAATTAGTGTTTGTGATTAATGGACAAGAACCATTTTGATCAAACTTTGAGATTTCTGTAAGTCCAAAAGACGACTCCCATGTTTGGTAGGTATTAAATGTTTAAATGATCGATTTATTTTTCTAGCATCTTTGGAGAGTGAACCCCTAGATTGAAATTGGTGGTGGAGTCAGTCCGTTCAAAAAATGCCTTGCCTGCAAGGTGTCAAAGTGACTTAATTTCTACCTCTGTTATTGTCTCGCCATTAGTTTTTTTTCTGATTTTTTCATGATGTCATTTTCCTTGTGCCCTCTCCTACGTCGATGATCGAGCATCACAATCCTTGACTAATCATTTTTTATTCAGCTATGCTGATCTTTTTATTCAGCCATTGTCGTGGTTTCATATACGCATGTCATTGGCAAGCCATACGTTCACCATCATCAGATAAGGAAAAAGAGGTAGAAAGAAATATGTTTTGCTTTTCGAGCTGTCCGCGACTACGAGGATGCATATATCTTGTACTATTTCCACTCCATTAACAAGGGCAATGAATGATGTGTCATGTGTGATAATAATACCGCAAAATCAAGTTTTTTTCATAATTAATTTTCTTTGTGGGGTTTCTCATAGTTTATTAAACCGTCATATTGTGTTGCCTCATAGTTATCACTGAAGAAAAGAAACATAAAACATTTTTTGAGAAGTAACAAACATAAAACATTTGCTTTTTTTTTAGACAACAGCATTTGCTTCTTTTCGAGAGCAAGAGGCAGTAGCCTAGCGGTCCAGCCCATTTCTCATGTGTATGACAACTCACGCCAGCCCATCAAGACCCAAGATCCAAGAAATATCCCTACCTCCACTCCCCGTGATCTTCTTTTTTAATGAAATCCCTCCACAGTCCACACCACGGCCGTTGGGCGGCGCTTCTCCACTCCACTACCTCCACTCCCCCCAAAATCCTCCACCCAAACCCCAATCCGGCGACGCGACGGCGGCCCAATCCCCGCTCACAATGAGCCCCCCACCGCCGCAGCGCGGCCGCCACTCGCCGCCGGCGCTGGACGACGACTCCATGAGCGAGATCTTCCTGCGCATCCCGCCGGACGACCCCAAGAGCCTCGTCCGCGCCGCCGCCGTCTGCCCGACCTGGCACCGCATCCTCTCCGACGCCGCCTTCGCCCGCGGCTACCGTGCCTTCCACAGGGCGCCGCCCATGCTGGGCTTCCTCCACAACAAGAGACACGAGAGGCCGTGGGGCAGGGGGTGGCGCAGGCGCCACGAGGAGTACCTGGTCTCCAACTTCGTCTCCACCGCGTCCTTCCGCCCGCCGGCGTGCCACGAGCGCCGCCACTGGCCCGCCATCGACTCCCGCCACGGCCTCGTCCTCTTCCACACCCCCAAGAGGTGCGAGGACTTCGTCATCTGCGACCTCGTCACCTACGACCGGTGGAGGATCAAGGCCGACCCCGCCTGCCGCCGCATCATCTGGAATGGCCGGTTTGATGAGGATTGGGGCGAGTACGATGATGAGGACGAGGACGTCACCTGGAACGCCGCGGTGCTCTGTGCCAAGGACGGCTGCGACCACCTCTACTGCCACGGCGGGCCTTTCCTCGTGGCCCTCGTGGGCTCCGTCAGGGGACGGCAGATGACATTTGCCTCCGTCTACTCATCGGCGACTCGTAAATGGAGCGGCATGATCTCCGTCAAGGAACCGAATGTCATCGAGATGACCGGGCACAATGCAGTTGTGGTAAACAAGGTGTATTTCCCCTGTGAGCAGAGCGACAGTGTCTTGGAGTATGACATGGGTGAGCAAAAACTGTCGGTGATACGTGCGCCGTTTGCTGGACTGGTGGGAGCGGAGGGCGGCCTGCTCGTGTTCGCGACGGTGCTGAAGCCTAGGCTCCACATATGGTTAATGGAGGTCCGTGTCCGTCCTGATAGAACTACGGCTTTGGCGCGACGCAGGAGCATTGAGCTCGCACCAAAGCTCTCTGCTTATGCCTTGTTGGACGTGTCGGTGGTTGGTTTTGCAGAAGGTGTTGGTGTCATATTCCTGAGTACAAAGGCTGGGTTGTACACAGTTGAGCTCAGTTCGGGCCGAATCAAGAGCATGGACAGAGAGCCAAGCCTCGGCAAAATCATGCCATACATGTGCTTCTACACTAGAGGTACAACAAACTACCCTTGTATTGTTTTGTAAATATGCACATGAAGTCATGAAGACGAAACACGCCATTGACTACTGTGATGAGTATGTTGAGTTTTTCTTTTCACTTTTCTGCGTAGCTAGATAGACATTTGTATGTATGGTTCCCAGTAGCTAGATAGACATTTTTATGCACATTTCTCAGTAGTTGTTTCTTGTGTGGAATCAGCCTTGTGCGGATCAACATATCTGCTCCATGCTGATTGCATAGTTGGTCCTGTATGTTTCACTAGCTGCTCTAGTAGATATGTTGCTCTAATTAGGCCTAATGGATAGGTTAATCTAGTTGGAGCCTTGTTGAGTAGGCCCTAGCATTGCCAATAGCAATCTGTAAAGTACACCCTCTGTTCCTAAATATAAGACGTTTTGGCAGTTTAACGTCTTATTTTAGGAACAGAGAGTGTAGTTAAGTAACCAGTGCTTTGCTGTGGTCTCGGATACCCAGACCTCCTTGTGGTCTTTTGGGTAGGATAACCTAGTCTCAAACACTTACCAAGGGAAAGTTCTGTTGCTACGTGTCTCCAGTATTGCAGTAGTTCCAGATTGAATGGTTGTGATGTGGATACCTCCTGTTATTGCTTGGTTGATTTGGACAGCTATAATTGAAATTGTTTTGAGGGGCAAAGTATGCTCCTCTTCTACTCATAAGATCATCTTGTTAAGCCTCGTCTTCTTATGGTGCAGAATGGGGGCGGTTGCCGACCTCTGACTAAACTTCTATCGCAGTTGTTGGCGCTGCAGCGATATAATCAAATGGCGTCAAGATGATCGGTCTGTTTACTTTTGCTGCCTGGGAAGAATTTGAAGTGAACTTCGGTGTCTTCTGTTGCTGGTTGTGTTGGACAGTTTGGTTACAATGGATGCACTTTTGGCCTATGTGTGCCTGCGCCGAAACTTGAGTTTGTTCGTCCGAGCTGCGTGTGTCACGTTGTGTCTGTAGCCCCAGCAGGGATGCTTCACCTAAATGAATGTAAGGAAGCGGTATTAGTGCATGAAGAACATGATCGGTTAACTGATGAGTGTAGACTTATGTACGTACCTAAATTTTCAGAGGACGAAGATATCTATGTGGTGATAAGCTGGGCTGAGTCGCTCTCTGGAAGGGCATTCTATATTTCTGTGTTGTGCAGTGCTCGAAGATAAACCCATGTCGTTTGCGGGGGTGGTTTAATAAATTGTATCAAGACCGAGATGCTAGAATGACTAGTTGTTCTGTAAAATTAGCCATTAAACTTGAGTATTGGTGCAGCTACTGCACAACCTCTTTCGATGACATTTCGATGTCGCACAATAGGGCAATGTTTATGGCCAGCCATGGCATTAGAGTTGGAGTATAGACTGGCCATATTCTTTGTATTCAACCTATAACCATATTCTTTTGCACCATGACAAATAATCGGAGTGTTTGAGTACACAAGGCACAATATGTGTTTTGCTACTGGTTTGGAGTTCCATCTTTGTATTTGTAATGCAGAGCTGACAAATATACCGAAATGACATAGAGAAAACATGTCAAGTAGTACTATAAGTTAAATACACAGCTTGAAAACAAAGCAAGACAAAATCTGATGCCGATAATAGATTAAATTCATGTCCTGAATATGGAACCTTGGCCTTCCAGTCTTATTGTCTTACTCTGATCACGAAGTTTGAATGCTGCTGTTAGAGGCAGGTCTGCTACAGGCTCAATTGTTGCGAGATCAGATCGCTGGCTAGTACTTCTGCTTTCTTTTGTTCATGTAAGCCATAGTGCTAATGAGGTGGCTCATATGTTGGCTAGATCGAGTGAACACTGCTAAATCGGTGTATCGCCGTTGTACCCATAGTTCTATCCATAATCTTGTAAACTCAGAATGTTTGTGTGAATAATGAGACATCTTTTATAAAATAAAATATGGACAAGCTACCATCCATATCCAAATGTGTCTTCCTTTTTTTTTGAGTATTTATAGAATTTAGAATTAAATTTTCTGAGATGGCAGCCACATGCTGTTGCACTATTTAGATGGATTTCGACTTTTATGAGAGCACCCCAAAAAGCAGCTAATATTACTCATCAAGTTATGAAATCTGGGGTCGGTTTCGCTATTTTCTCTAGAAGCTGACAAATAACCTTTCTAAGAGTTAACTGAGAAATTTCAAGTAACAATTATCTGTAAGTGTGATGAGCCACCCTCACTTTGTTCTGGTAGTCACATTCATACACTTGTCGGGTTTCCCTCTTTTTGGAAAAAGGAAAAGAAAAAAAAATCACACACATTTTTTTTGAGGAACAAAAAAAAGCCACACAGATGAGGCGCCGATTGACTTTTCTGGTCTTCATTGCGCAACTTTGACTATGATTTTCACGTATTGTATGTCTATAAAATTAGTATACAGACATATGAAATAAAATCATTTTGCAAGACAATTATATATGTTCAATCTATATACATTGATATACATATTGGTGGTCAAAGTCATGCATCAAAGACCGTGCAAAGTCAATCACGCCTTATATTTTGGGAAGGAGGGAGTATTTAACAAGAATTTAGTTTTTTTTTCCCTAGTGGAACAAGAGTTTCTTAAGGGCCATGGATAATCCTTGTTTTTCTTACCATTTTCTGCTTAGATAGGATTTACCATTTCTAATTCATTCCACTTTTTTTTACAGTAGTTTCTTTAGGATTATCTAGATGGGTGTGTCTAGGACTCATCTAGATGTGACATAACTATGTCATATCTAAGTATGACATCATCATTGTTTGTGGCCCATTTTATTAGTTTGTTTATTTTTGTTTGCTTTGGGTTTGTTTATTTGTTCCGGGTAATCACTCCAGCCTGACGGGACCCAGCCCGGACAACAAAACTAGCGCACATATTTCTCGCTTGAAGCGAGTTGTAAGAACAGGTTGTCCGCGAATCAACCTGTGGTTGAGTTGGTTAGGTGGACAGTGGTATTTCCAACCCACCAGGGTTCAAATCCTGGTGCTCGCATTATTTCTGGATTTATTTCAGGATTTCCGGCGATGCGCTTTCAGTGGGAGGAGACGTTCCCGTCGACGACGAGGCGCCTACGGTGACTTCGTAAATCTCAAGATGATATGCCGGCTCAGTCTCTCGGAGGTGCTCATAGGGGTAGAGTGTGCGTGTGTGCGTTCATAAAGGTGAGTGTATGCGCGTGTATATGAGCGCTTGTGTCTGTACTGATGCTAAAAAAAGAACAGGTTGCCCGCTACGCAGCAACACGATACAGTGCACGTTCTTACCCCAGCCAGCTAAGCTACACATTATTCTATCTCAGAAAAAAAGAAGCTAATACGTAACGTATTACCTCTTCTAGAACTGAAAGGGCTAGTTACGCATCTGGTAAAAAAAAGCGATGGAAGCAAGCTTTCCATTCCTTTACATTTAATTTTTAGTTTTCTCTGTTCTTTTGGGTGAATTACACATGTTAGAGAATATAAAGTGTCTGTATGGTAAAAAATATTTCTGGATAAAAAAATGTTAATACGTGCTGCTTGGTTATGTACATGTTGAATCGTTCGGTTATTGTTTTCCATACTTTTGTTTGTAGTTTCAGAAAAATATAAATACATATTTTCCAAAAAAATATAGTTTTGTTAAAAAATATAAAACATTCACCGCGCATTAAAACAATGTATGTGCAACTTAAAAATGATGATAGCACTTAAAAAAATGTTCGTCGTGGTATTTGAAAGATGTTTAACACGTACTAGAAAAAATGTACAAAAAATATGTGTCTGAAAAAATGTACAACCAAGACCCTACAAACATACGCCCTTAGTTGCAAGTCGGCGGTTGACTTACAACTAGGGCAACTATAAAAAAATTACAACGCGTTCCAATTGTGAGTCCATGACTGACTTGCAACTAGGGCTGCTACAAACATACGTCCCCTAGTTGCGAATAAATGGTTGACTTGTAACTGAAGTAACAACAAAGAAATACGATTCGCCCTAGTCGCGAGTCGATGGTTGACGTGCAACTGAGGACCCATGATAAAAAATACACACACACACACCTTAGTTGCGAGTCGGTCATCGACATGCAACTGGGGACCCTCGACAAAAACACACACACGCGCGCACACTCTAGTTGTGAGTGGTTATCGACATGCAACAGGGGACCCTTGATAAAAACACACACATATACTCCCCTTAGTTGCGAGTCGATGGGGGGCTTGTATCTTGGGACCCTCGATAAAACACACACCCTTCCCTAGTTGCAAGTCGATGGCCAAATTGCAACTAGCGGTCATTAACAAACACAGACACCCTAGTTGCGAGTCGATGGTTGAGATGCAACCAGGGGCCACACAAAACACATACGCACACCCCCTAGTTGTGAGTTGATGGTTGACGTGCAACTGGGGACCCTTGACAAGAACACACACATACACACACACACACCTAGTTGCGAGTTGATGGTAAACTTGCAATTGTGGGCCACGAATAAACACACACACATACACACCCCTAATTGCGAATCGATGGGCTACTTGCAACTGGGTGTCCTCAACAAAACACACACCCCCTAGTTGCGAGTCGATGCTTGACATGCAATTGAGGACCCCATGATAAAGAGACACACACACACCTTAGTTGCGAGTTGATGGTCAACTTACAACTGGGGACCCCTTGACAAAAAGACACACATACATCTCTAGTTGCGAGTTGATGGTCAACTTGCAACTCGGGGTTCTCAAACAAACACACACTTCCTAGTTGTGAGTTGATGGTCGACATGCAACCGGGGACCCTTGATAAAAAGACACACACACCCCTAGTTGTGAGTCGGTTATCGACATGCAACTAGTGACCCTCTACACACACACATCCTAAGTTGCGAGTTGATGAGTAACATGCAACTGGGGGTCCTCAATAAACACACACCCCTCTAGTTGCGAGTCGATGCTTGACATGCAACTGGGGAGCCCTTGACAAAAAGACACACACACACACACCCCTAGTTGCAAGTCGGTTATCGACATGCAAATTGGGGACCCTAGGTACACACACAAACACACCCTACTTGCGAGTCGATGGTCAACTTGCAACTAGGGGTCCTCAACAAACACACGCACCCCTAGTTGTGAGTCGATGCTTGACATGCAACTGGGGACCCCGTGACAAAAATACACACACACACACACTAATTGCGAGTTGATGGTCAACTTGCAACTGGGGACCCCTTGACAAAAAGACACACAAACACCCCCTAGTTGCGAGTTGGTTATCGACATGTAGTTGCGGACCCTTGACACACACACACACCCTAGTTGCAAGTTGATGGTAAACTTGCAATTGTGGGCCACGAATAAACACACACACACATCCCCTAGTTGTGAGTTGATGGTCAACTTGCAACTGGGGGCCACGAATAAACATATACACACACACACCCCTAGTTGCGAGTTGATGGGCAAGTTGCAACTAAGTGTCCTCAACAAAACAAACACACCCTAGTTGCGAGTCGATGCTTGACATGCAACTGGG